CTGGTTTGTTTCTAGCCCTTTACCCCTGAAATAGCCACACAGAAACTGTATTAATTAAATCATTGCTTGGCCCATTAGCTCTAGCTTCCTTTTGGCCAACTCTTACATCTTAATTTAACCCATTTTAATTAATCTGTATATTGCCAAGTGGCTGTGGTTTACCGGGTAAAGTTCCCAATTCTGTCTCTGGCACTCCATGGCTTCTCTCTGACTCCACCCTTCTTTCTCCCAGCATTCAGTTTAGTTTTCCCAGCCTCGCTAAGTTCTGCCTTGCTATAGGTCAAAGCAGTTTCTTTAGTCATTAATGGTAATCACAACGTACAGAGGGGAATCCCACATCAGACAACAGAATTAAGGAGGGTCTAAAGCCCTACCTACAACTTGTCTGATATTTGTCCTTATCATGGAGAGCTGAGCCTTTGTTTTGCTGACCTCAGAGTAGCATGTCACGATGGACACAGAACACTCCTAGAATTATCTGTAATCCTGCGTGCTGAATGAAAGCATAAAAGATAGCAGAGTACTTCTCTGCTATAAAATTATTCAGCTTGCATTGCCAGCTTTACAGATACTAGCCTGATATATTTCACTTGCTAGAACTTCTCTGAAGCAAACAATTGTCTTATATCAGGAATGTTTTGAAGAACACAACTTTCTCATTATCTTTGTCTTTGAAGTTTGGGTTACTAACATTTTCAGGTATTGTGGGAGAATTCTGGCTTCCTAGATGGCTCATAAATGAGTTACGATAGGCCCTATGTTTGTATCCTGAAAATGCTCTTAAATCCATACAAGTCTTTGCCCTGCTGGTTGATCACCAAGGTCCAATTTTAAAACATCAAGATCCAGCAATCAAAATTCCTTATTAGCCGGGCGGTGGTGGCGCACGCCTTTAATCCCAGCACTCGGGAGGCAGAGGCAGGCAGATCTCTGTGAGTTCGAGGCCAGCCTGGTCTACAAGAGCTAGTTCCAGGACAGGAACCAAAAGCTACAGAGAAACCCTGTGTTGAAAAATCCAAAAAAAAAAAAAAAAAAAAAAAAAAAAAAATTCCTTATTTGGCTACCCTGACTAACATCCAATCAGGACTTAACACTCCTGCTGCTGTTTTTGTTCCACCCAGAGGTAGTAAAGCCCCTCCCCCATGTCCCTCTTGTGTAATCTCCTTCGTGCTGAGAATTTCCTGTCTGGGTGCTTCCTGTGCCAACTCTGGGGCCACTTCAAGTCCACCAGCAGGGGGCCTGCCCAAGGGAAACAAAAAAAAAAGCCTACAAATCCTGTAGTTCATTTAATCACAATGTACATTTATGATGAAATTGTAGTAAAATGTTGTTGTTTAAACAAAGTATTAGTTGTGTAAAAATCATGTTAGAGCATGGAAAGTTTATTTAGGAATTTCACGGTCTTTAACACCACAGTGTCCTGTGACAGCTTGGAACATGATCTCAGGTTTAATGAGGACAGAGCAGAATTCACAGTGGGGCTGATGACGCTCTTGTCACTAGTGCCTTAGGAACTGTGCTGAGAACCAACCGCTGGGACTCCTCATAACCAAGACTCTGGTTTCCCAGTATGTCTGCTGATCACCTACATCACCAACAACTTAACTGGCAGAGAAGTCAATGCAAACACCAGTGTCCCTAGAGGCCAATTAAAATGAGAGGTGCCCACAGCTTCCATCTCCAGTTTCATGGGCAGAAGGTAAATCTGTATTTTACACTTAAAATTTGTATAAAGTCAAGTCCTGAAGTATTTCTCCCCAAGAGGGAAGCTGTACAGCTAAACTCTCTTGAAAACGGAAGGAATGGGTGGTGTTTGTAGAGGTGGGTTTTTGGGGGTTTTTTTTTTTTTGATTTTTTTTTCTGTGTGTGTGTGAATGTTTGGTTTTTCAAGACACAGTTTCTCTGTAGTTTTGCAGCCTGTGCTGGAACTTGCTCTTGTAGACCAGGCTGGCCTTTGGGAATTAAAGGGAGTTTAAGCCCCTGCACCACTTAGTTCATGACAGCAGCTGAACCTTCCTTCTGATGTCACTGGAGAGCCCCACTGTGCAGACTGGGTGTCCAGGCTGGAAGGCCACTATTGGGTGGTGGTGTGAGAGGAAGACTCAGCACAGAGTCCCTGCATCTCTGGGCCCAGTCAGATGCTTGCCCTCAGGACCACAGCTGTTACAGGAAAGGGGAAGACAGGAACCCGCAATGTGTGTTCTGGTTGAGGGTGCGGGACCTGTTGTAACTGTGGTGAGGACTGACAGTGAGGGTCTCCAGCTGTGATGTGCCCTGGTGAGCCTGGAGTGTGGCTGTCATGGGGTGCAGGCTGGCACAGACACAGGGGAGAGTGACTGTGGGGCCAGTGCAGGAGAGTGTGGCTGCTTCTCCTCTGCAGCCCTGAGGTGGCATCTTCCCTGAGCCCTGCTGCAGTGGTTCAGGCTGAACAGGCTGACAAAGCTCCCTATGAAATCTCCCTCCTTGGTGCACTGGGAACCTCAGTCCTAAGATTCCCAACACTGATGTGTTTAGATATTTAAATTTTCCTCTGTTAATTGTGACAAATTTTCTCCTTGAATGCCGTTTTTGTTCTGTTTCCCCATGTCCTAAGACCCTGACCAGCTACCCAGCCCTGGAGCAGCACCCCCACACCCTGTTCCTGAAGGGAGACACTGACAGTCGCTCTGGTTGCCTTCTCCACCCTGCAGCCTCGCAGCTACAGGCAGCCTCATCCCAGTGACTGTCCTATGAGTGGTTTGCATGCTAGTCCCCAGTCCACTGGGGACCTGTCATGTAGGGGATGTGTGTGTATGTGTGTGTGATGTGTGTATGTGTGTGTGCATGTGTGGTGTGTGTGTATGTGTGTGTGATGTGTGTGTATGTGTACGTGTGTGTGCATGTGTGGTGTGTGTGTATGTGTGTTTATGTGTGTGTGATGTGTGTGTATGCGTGTGTGGTGTATGTGTGTGTATGTGTGTGTATATGTATGTGTGTGTGGTGTATGTGTATATGTGTGTGTGGTGTGTGTGTATGTGTGTGTATGTGTGTGTGTGGTGTATGTGTGTGTGTATGTGTGTGTGTGTATACATGCAGGTGTGGTCAGTCCCACACTCTTTCAGTGTACCCAGGCAGTGTGCAACATTTTGCATAAAGAGGCCCCAAAATTAACAAACTCTTCTTACACACAGGATGAATGGTCACTTTTAACACAAAGCTGGGTCTTTCCTCCTGGGGTTCTAAGGCACTGTATACACTTCAGAAGGCCTGTGTAGGGCTCACTACCCACAGGGCTCTTAATTTTATGGGTCAGTGTATTCTTTTCAGGGCATCCACTCAGGATGAGGTGGTGCAGTGGCTCTCCTCCCTGTCCTGATGTCCTGGAGTCCCTGCAAAGGTTCACAATCTTCAGGTGTGGACTCAGACTGCCACTGAGACCCTGAGACCCTGGGGCAGACAATTATCTATTCTGTCACCTCATGTTGGGGTGAGTATGGACACCTCACAGTTTATACAAATCAAACATTAAAGATTCCCGCGACTCCCGATTGAAAGATGCTTTCTCTCTTCTATAAGATCTCTCAGTTGTGAAGTTTTATTTGTTTTATTGTTTGAGACTGGGTCTCTTTACACAGCCAAGCTGTTCTGAAAGTCACAGAGATCCTCCCACCTGTCTCCCAAATGCTGGGATTAAAGGAGTGTGTCACCATGAAGTGGCACCCAGAAGTGAAGTCTTGATACAGTGAAGCCTACTGACTTCATCGCCACCAAACATATTATCTAAATACTTTTTTCTGTTATACCTAAAGTAGTAGAAGTTGCCCAAGGATTTTGTTCGTAAGTATACCGGCCATTTAAAAATTAATCATATAAACCGGGCGGTGGTGGCGCACGCCTTTAATCCCAGCACTTGGGAGGCAGAGGCAGGCAGATCTCTGGGAGTTCGAGACCAGCCTGGTCTACAAGAGCTAGTTCCAGGACAGGCTCCAAAACCACAGAGAAACCCTGTCTCAAAAAACAAAAACAAAAACAAAAAATTAATCATATAAAGTAAAAGAAAAATACGTAATTAGGCAGTTTATATTCTGGCCAAAACCAAATGCTAATGAGTTATTTTACAATGCTTTTGTAGATAATGGAATTTGCAGTAGCTAAGTTTCATAATTTTAAAAGGTTGTATTTATTTGTTTGTTTGCATTTATTTATTTCTTATGTACACAGTGTTCTGCCTGCAGGCCAGAAGAGGGCATCAGATCTCATTACAGATGGCTGTGAGCCACCATGAAGGTGTTAGAAATTGAACTCAGGACCTCTGGAAGAGCAGTCAGTGCTCTTAACCTCTGAACCAACTGTCCAGTCCAAGTTTCATAATGTTTTGTTTGATTATTCCTTAATGCTGATAGTTTAACTTGAAAATCAAATTACATTATTTTAAACTTTCATTCTTTTATATAGTTTAGGCAACTATCCCCAAAAAACTTCAATCAAAAGTTACAAAGCAGGTGCCCTTTAGAACACACTGTGTGGCAGGCAGACGGGGGCTTTAGTCAATTGAGCTCAGATGTTCTGATGACCACAGGCCCTGCCAGGTGGTTGAACTGTTACCTTCTTAACACCACAGGGCCACCGTTAAGACACAGACAGAACACATTGTTCAAAGGTCACACACGGGATCTTACTGGTTAAGTTTCTAACTAGGATAAAGCAGATACAATCAAAGAACTTCATTTTCAGGGTTAGTTTGTGTTATTGCTGGAAACTGCACCTCAAGTTTCTTCATGCATGGGAGGTAAATGCTCTTCCAGTATGGTCCCATCCCATGGGGAAGTTTATACAACACATTAGACATACAATGAATACTATTAGGTGCAATCTGGGTTACACGATTAATCATTCCACAGAAATCTGATTTTACCAAAGAGTTTTTGGCTCTAGAACAGTGGTATTCTAATTTACCCATAGATACAACATCAACATCAAACCTTTGAGTACAAGAAGAGTGATACAATATGTAACAGAGTGATACAATGTGTAACAGAGTGATACACTATGTAACAGGGTGATACACTATGTAACAGGGTGATACACTATGTAACAGGGTGATACACTATGTAACAGGGTGATACACTATGTAACAGGGTGATACACTATGTAACAGGGTGATACACTATGTAACAGAGTGATACAATATGTAACAGAGTGATACAATATGTAACAGAGTAATCTGTAATCAGGGCTTTCATGAATCCTAGGAAGTGAGCAAAAGAAGATGCTGTTGGTCCAAACAGGACTAGGAGGATTTAACAGAACTTAGACACAGCCCATTTCCCATTGCTGAAGCATCACCTTGCTCAGGTGACCAGTGGCAGGACACTGGATGTTCCTCAGGGACAAAGGGCCAGGGAAGCAGATGACCGGTTTTGGAGACAAAGCTGGAAAAATCTGAAGTTCACAGTTGCGAAGAGGACACAGATACGGTGGTAGCTCCAGTCTGAAGCTGGAAGAACAGCAACACAGGAGTTACAGCATTTTTTAAGAATAAATCTTTATTCATCTCTACTATCCCATTCCTTCCAGTTCTCCTCAACCCTCCCTCCCCTTCCTTCTACCCCCTGTTCCCATGCTCCCAGTTTTGTCAGGATCTTATCTGTTTCCAATTTTCAGGTGGATCTATATATGTTTTCTTTGGGTTCACCTTATTACTTAGCTTCTCTAGAATCATGAATTACAGGCTCAATGTCCTTTGTTTATGGCTAGTATCCACTTATGAGTGAGTACATACTGTATTCATCTTTTTGGGGTTTGGGTTTCCTCACTCAGGATAGTATTTCCTAATGCCATCCATTTGCATGCAGGACAGACATGAGAGCAAGGAAAGGGAAATCTTGACTGAGGGAGCCATTACGGGGTTAGCAAGAAACCTGAATCTAGAAAATTCCCAGGAATCCACAAGGAAGAACCCAACTAAGATCCTAAGCAATAGAGGAGAGGAGGCTCAAACTATCCTTGCTGTATAGTCAGACTGATGGTTATCTTAAATATCACTATAGAACCTTCTTCCAACAACAGATGGAAACAGAGGCAGAGACCCACATCAGAACACTGGACTGAGCTCCCAAGGTCCATTGAAGAGGGAAAGGAGTGAGAATATGAGCAAGGAGGATAAAACCCATGAGGGGGTCATCCACGGAGACAGTTTGCCTGAGCTAATGGGAGCTCACCAACTACAACTGGACTGGGAAAGAACAAGCATAGGACCAAACTAGACCCTCTGAATATTGTTGACAGTTGGGGCAGACTGAGGGGCCAATGACAGTGGCACTGGGATTTGTCTCTACTGCATGTACTGGCTTCCTGGGATCCTATTCTCTTTGGATGGATACCTTGCTCAGCCTAAATATAGTAGGGAGGCCTTGGACTTTCCACAAAGCAAAGTGCCTTACCCTCTCTTAGGATTAAAGGGGGTAGGGTGGGAGAGTGTGTGGAGGGAATGGGAGGAGGGGAAGTAGTGGGAATTTGGACTGGGATTTTTTTTTAAAGTAATACCAAAAACAAATCTTTATTTATTATGTATACAGTGTTCTGCCTGCATGTGTGCTGGACGCCAGAAGAGGGCACCAGACGCTGGGAATTGAACTCAGGACCTCTGAAAGAGCAGGAATGATCTTAACCTCCTAGACATCACTCCAGCCCAAGTTACAGCAATTATAAAGTTACACACAGAGAAAGGCTAGATCCAGATTGTTAAAAAACTTTAAAACAGATCAATGAACAGGCCACTAACTGCTGATTTTGTTTCATTTCTTTGAAATGAACTGATTCTCCTGTGAGGAAGCATTCATAATTTCTTCAATTTTTTTGCTTATTTTTTTTTTATTTTATTTTTCCAGACAGGGTTTCTCTGTGTAACCCTGACAGTCCTGAACCAGACTGGCCTGGATCTCAGTGATTTGCCTGCCTGGGTTTATGGAATTCAGGGGTTAAATGTTCACCAGCTCTGCCCAACAAATTCTTCCCTGTTAAAGGAAATTTCTCGGATGCCCTGAGATGTGCTACATGGAAAGTTTCACCACACAAAGGCTTTACCTGCTGATGCCAATATTACCAAAGTTACTGTGATCCTCATCAATTTCCTAGCTGCACACACGAGTGGAATCTGCCTATGAGTTTTAGAGTTACCCTCAGAGGCAGCACCAGGATTCCCAGAGCCAGGGAGGTAGAGGCAGTGGAGCAGAGCAGAACACAGTACCAACAAGACCGGATCTAAGTTGAGACCCTGTGGATCAGTCCTTTCTGCTGATCCTAAACACAAGGGTTAGATTCTGAAAGACAGGGGTGTAGGAGAGAGAAACTCCAGGCAACAGCTCAGGAAGGAAGCAGGAGCTCAGGAGGCTGAAGATCACCTCCTGAGTGCAGGGGCCTTGTTGGGACAAGGACAGGAAAAACAGCTCCTGCTGTGGTCACACTCAAAGGAGAAAGAGACAGGCAGCACTCACAGGAATGACCCAGGGCTGCTCCTCCACACAAGCTAATATAGAAGTAAACAGGAAGGAAGGGGAAAAGGCTACAGCCAGGACTGAATCCAGGCAGACCTCACACTGCAGCCCTGGCTGCTCTCATCCTGGACACAGGACAGGGCTGGGGACACCTATGTATTCCTGTGATCAGAGTGTCTCAGCATGTGCTTGTACTAAGTGACAAGGACAGAAGAGCCAGGGAGTACTGAGCTGAGGAGTGAGCACAGGAAGCCCACATGGCCAGAGCTCCACCCAGCACAGCCCCATCCTCATTCAGCTCCCACAGACTCCTCCTGTGCCCCCCTGGACACTAAGCACAACAAACACAGATCCTGGAAGGCTCTCCTTCCTGCCGTTTATTTTCTACATCACACTTGCAGAATTCTCTCCTTTAATTTGACTGCTAATGTCTCAATTAAGGACATGAATCATCAGGTGCACATTTGATTTTTATGTTCAGTAGGAAAGACGAGGGCTGGAACTCAGGGCAGCATGGAGGTGACAGAAATAGAGATGTCCCCTCCTGCCTGTGGTGGACCAGGATAGTTGGCTGAGGAAGGGAGCAGGGAAAGTGCAGGGGCCAGGGTCCTGCTGGACAGGGCTGGTTTGGACCCCAGCTTTTCTCATTCAGTGCACAGGAAAAGCAGAAACCCTCAGACATTGCTGTCCACAGAGAATTTGTTTGTTCTTAGGGCAGAACTGGTCGCTCAGGCCCACAAGGCAGCTGTTCCAAGGTAAAGAAAAAGAGCCACGAAAGTCACTATAAGGACCTCCCAAAGGCCACTACTCAGAAAAGTCTAAGTCAGAAAGGCCCTGAGACCCAGTCCTCTCCTTGCCTCAGCCCCAACCCCAGGCCCTAGGGTGTCACCTTTTCAAGCCTCCAGAGACAAGACAGAGCTCTGGACACTGTCCCTGGTTGCAGTAGAAATAACCAGACACAGTCAGGAGATTGACAGGTGGGGCTGGAGGGGAAACCATCAGCTCAGCCTCCACTCCAGTTCCTCAGGGAGGATTCTTCCCTGAACACCGACCTGCAGCAGGAGAAAAGTTGCCTTCTTTCCACCTGTGAGAGGAAAAACTGTGAGAGACCAGGGAAGTCCCGGTCCCCATAGAGTTTTCAGAATTGTGACTGCAGACTAGGGAAGGGTCAGCAGGCAGGAGAAGGAAGTGTGCAGGGAGAGAGCCAATGGCAGACTGGAGGTCTGTGCTCAGCAGGGACCTTCCCCTCTGACCTCTGAGGATCAGATCCCATCACCTCCAGCATCAGGGTTATGAACATTTCCCTACAGTAAGGTGATTGTCAGCATACAGATCCAGAGATGGGCATGGGTGTGGTGTGGTGTGGTGTGGTGTGGTGTGGTATGTGTGTGTGTGTTGTTTGAGTGTGCACCCTTCTTGAATGTGCTGAATGCAAAAACAGAAAATAAAAAAATGCAGACCCGCCCCTTACATACATGTGTACTTCCTCATCCACAGCATCACACCAATAATAAAACCTAGGAGAAGACCACAGCTCCAAGGACAGCACCAACAATAGTCATGATGGTGATGGTGGACTGGGGAAGATCTAGGAGGGAAGGCAAGAGAAGGTGAGGGTCAGGGCCTAAGCTATGAAGCCTCACCCTGCTGAGTGTCTGCAGAAGGCTCCAGCTTTCCCTGAAGCCAGCTCTGCACCCACTCCCTCCTTACCCCATCTCAGGGTCAGGGGCTCAGGCAGTCCCTCATGGTACACATGGCATGTGTATCTCTGCTCCTGTCCAGAAGGCACCACCAGAGATGCCCACTTCTGGAAGGTTCCATCCCCTGAAGGTCTTGTCTCCACCAGTTCCATGTCCTGTGTTTGCTCCCACTCCTCCCTTTTTAGGTCAGGGTGATGAAGTCAGGATAGAAGCCCAGGGACCAGCACTTCACAGTGACAACACCTTTATATCCAGGATGATGGGTCACATGTGTCTCTGGAGGGTCTGAGGAGAAGAGGTGGAAATGTCAGGTGTTTTGCATTCTTCCTGGGGACTCCAGCAGGGTCCATGAGACCTTCCTGGGAAAGGTCAGAAATTGGGTGAGGGGGGGATGAAAATCCCCTGTAACTCACACACAGGATTCTGGATAATTTCATCTCAAGGAAATTTTATATGAGGGTGAAAGAGCCCAGTGTTGTAGAAATTATTTTAAGGTGTGTTATTTTGTTTATGCTCTGGGACATTTGCTTAAAGATGCAAAAATGTGTCTGATTAAATACAATTCCCCTGTGGTCCAGAGGCTGGGTCAGCACCAGCTGATAGGAAGTTGTAAGGGGGAGCCAGATTGAGAAGGGGATGTAAGGAGGGGTCAGACACAGCAGGAGGACTTCTTGGGAGGTGAGAGAGGTGAGCTAGGTGAGCTGCTTGCTATTCAGCCTCTCTGGGAAGAGGATTCTACCTCAGCCTTTGAATTGTGAGTTCTTTAGTGGAACAGAAATTTAGATAATTTCTCTTAGTAGCTTTGAAAGAGTTGGTGCCTGAGGGAACAGAATTTCCTCAGGCTGCAGCTCTTGTGACCCAGCTGCTGCTTGTAATGGCAGAGTTGCAGTTGCTGACTAGGGTGGGTTCAAAGCCAGCAACCATTAAACCAGAGGACAGCGGCCCAGGGTCAGAGAACTCTAGAGTTAACATCAGGAAAAATGGACTTCTGCTCCTGACTGGGTGGAGCTGAGGGATTCAGCATCACTGAAGTCAGACTCCAGAGACCTTGGGTGTAGGCAGAGACCTGGGCCTGAGTAAGGCTGTGGCCCACACAGGACTGCAGACTGATGGTCAACTGCCTTGGTCATTTCAGGACCTTCTCTCCTTCCCTCTGGAGACACTCTGAATTGTCCTGAGAGAAAGGTGAGCTCTAGGAGAGTCAGTCTAAGCTAAAGGTAAGGAGGTCAAAAAGAACTTTCCACCTCCCACATGTGAGAGACAGGGGACAGGTGGATATGATGTCAGAAGGAGAGACAGCCTGAGTTTCCTCTAAAGCCAGGAGGAGACAAGGGAGTACACTCTCCACCATCCTATCTGATACAGTGATGATTTATATAAGCTATCAGAGATAGACAGAAAGTAGACATAAACAGGATGAAAATAGAAAAGGAAGAATTCACACTACCTCTATTTCCGGACAACACGATTCTTTACTTAGAAGACCCTGTTGAGTCCACAGAAAACTATGAGACCTAATAAACACCCGTGGTTTCCAGGTACAACATCAATATTTAAAAAGTAGCCTTCATGTGTGCCAGCAGTGTATCTTAGGAAGTGTACGACAATCAACGTGACTCCACCAGAATCAAGTGTCTAGAGATACATGTAACCAAAGAGAGGAAAGAAGTCTGCAACGAAAACACTAGACACTGACACAGGAAATCACAGAAGAGGGTGTTAGAGGATGGGAAGACAACCCATGCTCCTGAACTGGCAGAGTTAATGTTGTAAAAATGCCCATAGTACCAACATTAATATTCAGATTTAATGCAATACTATGAAGACTCGTTTGAGAAAGAACGACAAGAACTTACATGCAATGACAAAACCATGAGCAGCCAACAACCTGCAGCTGCTCCACTCCCAACCTCACATTTTACTGCAAAGCTGTACTGACTGCCAGCCTGCAACTGGCACAAACTAGACAGGAAATTAAGGCCTAGGATTGAGACCCTGGAAATAAAATGACAAAGCTTTGCACACTCAGTTTTCCATGAGGAATTCAAAGCACACACTGAAGAGAGCCCATTCTACACCCGATGCTGCAACATCGTTCTCCTACCCGAGAAGATGAATTCAGATGCTCACCTTTTTCCTTGTACAAAAGTAAACTTGGAAATGTTAAAACCCAAAAAACACAAAGTTCAAGAAGAAAACAGGGATTTTCTTCCAGATATTGGATTGAGCAAAAACCTCAAAATAGGACAATACCACAGGAGCTAATGAAGCCACACGTCAACATGAAAATGAATTCTCTCCACGGCATAGGACACAATCAGCAGAGAGAACAGAAGGAAGAAACCTGTACCAGCTATACTGCAGGCAGGGGACTAGAGTCTCTATTCGGGAAGAACTGCAGAAACTAAACAGCAGAGAACCAACCTTGCCAATCAACTAGTGGGTGAGGAAACTGGAGAGATAGTTGTCTTAACAAAAGAAAAAACACACAAGTGGCCACTTGCTATTTTACTGTGTTCAGTATCTCTACCCTTCATGACATGCAGATTAAACTCCTTTGAGGGGCTGGAGAGTTGGCTCAGAGGTGAGGCACTTGAGCTCTGCAGAGGACCTGGGTTAGATGCACTGTTTGTAACTCCAGCCCCGGGGACCTGACACCCTCTTCTGAGCCCAGACACCAGGCACACACATAGTGCACATGCACACATGCAGGCAAAACCCTCATCCACATGAAAGAGTGAAATAAAGATGATAAAACTGCTTAGAGACAGCGCTTCACCCCAGTCAGAAAGGCTGTCATCAACAAATCCAGCAAACGTTGGGGAGGAAGTAGAGGGAGGGGAGTCGTTGTTCGTGTGTGTGTGTGTGTGTGTGTGTGTGTAAATTAATACAGTCATTGTGAAAATCATTTTAAACATTACTCAAAAAGCTTAAAAATAGAACTATCATACGACTCAGCTATATTACTCCTGGGCATATATTTTCATCCCATGATAATTTCTGCTTTATTGACCAGGGCAAAGAACTGGATTTAACCCAGGTGTCCATCAACAGGTGAATAGATAATGGAAATTTGGTATACAAGTAAGATGGATTACTGTTTGGCTCTAATCAATGTAATCACAAAATACTCAAGAAAATGGATGGACTTAGCACGTATGTTAGTAATCGATGCCGCACAATCTCATAAATAAACTACAATGGTTTTCCCCATATGTGGGATATAGCCAACAGTATACGGTTATGTGCAGACACGTGTACACATGTGTACAGTATAGGAAGATCGCATAAATACCAGGGATGCGGCAGGACTGAATGCAGGCAATGGACTTGAGTTATGAAGCAGGATACAAAGTTAATTGTTTTCTAGTTATAAATCTGTTTGGATTTTTCTTTTTCCTTCTTTTTTGCGTGTTGGTGCTGGATAAGTGCATGAATCATATTTGATAACGAATTTGTAAAATACAAATGGTCTTTCCACACGTTCATAATGACTCCTGTGACTGCTGAAGTTCACTGCGCTGTATATAGTCTTTGTTCTGGTTAATTTCGGTGTGTGATTTTTTTGTAATAAACATATTTTAAAAAATTAAAAACAAGAAGAGACAGAGGCATGACCCCAGCTGAGGGTTTCCTCTTCCTCAGGACTGAGCCCAGCCCAAGAGCAGAGGGAGGAGTTGCCCAAGGCCAGAACCTGTGCGCAGCAGCGCGTCCTCCCCGTTCTCCAGGTGTCTGCCCAGCAAGCGCCCTCCAGTTCGGCCTCGTCACTCTCTGCAGCACCACCCTGCTCCCACTTGCTCCGGGCGATCTGCACTGCCCTGTCCGCCGCCATCCACGTCGTCAAGTCGTCGTTCAGGGCGATGTAATCGTGGCCGTCTTGGTGAACTGACTGTACCCGCGGTGGAGGCGCCCGTTTGACCCCATTTCACAGCCTGACAACTCCTGGAGAGACTGCGGGGACCCCACCCACAGCCCGGTCCCTGTCTCACGCGCCCCGCGGCCCCGCCCACCCGCAAGCGGACTTCTCTAAACTGAAAGTAAAAGTGGGTCCGGGCCATCTTCTTTCCGCGTCTCTGCGGTTCCAAAATCTTCAGGGAGAATCTGGGACGTGGGGCTCGGGACTTTTTCGGCTGATCCAGGATGGATCCTCCGACCGCGGACACTCACCGCCCTTGCTCTGGTTGTAGCGGGGTCCTCAGGTCAACTCGGAAAGTCTTTGTTCCAGGCGATCTGTGTCTCCTCCTCCCAATACTCCGGCCCCTCCTGCTCCACCCACGACGCCCGTGGCTCCGTCCTCGGAGTCTCCGCGTCGCTGTAGAAGCACACGAACTGCGTGTCGTCCACGTCGCCAACAGAGATGAACTGGGGCTCCCCGAGGCCGGGCCGGGGGGCGGGGAGGGGGTAGGGAGGGTCCAGCTGGGCCTCGCCGGGATGCGGCTTCCCCGGTGCCCCCCGCCCCTCACCCGCGCAGGTCTGGCTTGGGGCGAGGGCAGACGCCAGCACCAGGAGAGCGCAGGGCACAAAAGTCCAGGTGCTCAGGCCTAGATAGAATCAAAGCAAAGCCGCACAAAGTCGGGCAGACTTTGTAACTTGCAATCATAGAGATTTTTATTATGTTCTCCAAGAACCCACGCCTAGTGGGAGCCTGAGGTGAGATTACTCTTGTGAGGAGGAACCTGGCAGCAAGGAAGAGCAGACTGAAACCACTTGTCTATATTCTCCAGCCCGAAGCCCACTCTCAGTCCCCAGACCATGAAAGCCACTACTGAGGACTTGGGATTTGTCCTGACTCCATCCTCTGCACGGAGGTCTGTCTGTGACATCCCCTTCTTGAACCCTGGCCCAGAATTTTCCTGATGGTTTTCCAAGGAGAAACCAGCTGGATAACT